ATTGTTTTCGAAAGATTTATTTGATATTCGCTTTCACTGGTACAATAAAGCCCGTCTGTGGTAAAAACGATAAAATGACAATCCATACCTAGCATATATTTAGTTAAAATGTGATTAAATTCTGGAATAAAAGAGAAAAACCAATAAAAAAAAATCTTTACCCGTGGATACGATCCCATAAAGATAATTGTACTCATCGTTCCCGAAAGCTTGATCTGCTGTACGTTTCTTTTTATTCGTATAATATGCACTTTCGAGTTGCATTTAATATTACGTAGAAGTATTTTAGTATTTTCCCAGCCTATATAAACGAAAAAATAACGATAATCACATGTTTCACAAACTTCTATGTCGATCATACCCGTGAAGTGATTGGTTAATAATTTTCCGGCCATTAATGGATTTTGAAAGCCAGCTTGTTTCATAAATAATCCACCTGGTCGATAAAGCCACTCAATTACTGCATGCTGGATTATTTTAGTGGAATTAATTTGTTTTTTCCATAAACAATATGTCCACCTTTTTCCTTTCTAGTTCGGAAAAAGAAAAATAGTTATCAGTTAATTATCAATTATTGGTTAACTACTGTATATACTGTATATCTGGCTTCAAGTGAGAAACACGAGAAGGTAGAATACAAAATACAAAAATTTCCCAGTAATTTCTACTATTTATTTCATATCCTAGTTTTAATAAATGCTTACATACATACTTTGGTGAATAATATTTTACAAACCATAACCATGCTTCAGGTGTTTTTAAATTATTATTAATATAATTCAAGCCATATTTCATTAATCTGTACCATGCATAGTTATTTTTTGTTAATTCCTTTAAATATTCTTGAATAGTAACAATACAAAACTTTATTTAATATTCAGGTAATGTAATATATTAGATTGGGTTATTAGAGTTATTCTGGTTAAATTAGTTTTGACTATGCTGGCTCTATCAATATTTTTTTGATTTTCTCTAACTACTTGATCATATTTTTATAGGCTGGTTAATTTTATGTTTAAGTAGATACTTTCTATTTTTATCTGTTAACCCATTTAAGAAGAATATCCTTGCTAGTTTACTTGTAATCTGTATGCATAGCTCTAAAAAATATTGCTTGAAATTTTCATAATACTTACTTATTGAATCAGATCCTTGGATTGGGTATTCTAACATTTTGTTATATACAGTGTGTTGCAAAACTTTTTGGAATTTTATTTACATGACATAAATATAAATAACTTTTTCAAAACAAAAGC